AGTAAAGGAGAAGGACTACAAGGTCCATGACACCCTTGAAACTCGACGTAATTACGTCATGGTGCAGCGTCCTTATATACGTCACATGCCCGGATGTCGGTCTTTTTTTCATAGCAAAGGTAAGACTGCCTTGCCTTCGTGTTACTGTGAGAATAAAATCTGTTTTCATCTGTGTTATAGAACAAATATTCCAGCCTCCATAAATGAGAATACGAATCCGTGTACTTAGGTGATGCGTTAGACATCGTTATTGCTATGATTTATTTGTCATGTTTCTGTAATAATGAACAGTTTGGTGTATCGGCAATCCTAGGCCACTGGCTAGCCTCCGTGCTGTCTATAACGCTAGCTAGTAGGCTAATAGAAACGTGTTGTTCCTCTTTGCACGTATTTGCCGTTTACACGTACAGTTCCGCTGCCTCAAACTTAATCTTCCCTTAAAACACTAATTTGCCGTTTTTAGGAGACAAGTGGCTGGCTCGCTAGTACAGCGACTCTGCTCTCCAGTGTTGCTAACGGCTAGCTAATGTTACTTGTCATGCTGCTTAGGCATTGGCGATTGCTGTGATCTTTAGCATTCAACTAATTAACGTTAATTAATAGTTTTTAGACTGGTTGTGCTTTTTCCTCTTGCTTTCAAACAAAGTATAATTCGACTAGCAATACTATTGACTTGGAAGAGTGTAGTTTTCATTGATAAAATGCTAGTATGCAGTAGTTGGTACCAAAGCCAGGGCACTACTTAACAGAACACAACACACTGTCCAACCTAGGCTGGAATACTGTTTTTGCTCTCTATCATTAAAAGAGAATCCACATTAAAGAAAATTCTGAGATTTCTGCAGTTTGTGTACCAATATCTGTTTTACTTTGTCAGATGGCAGAGGGAGACAAAAAGTCTGCCAAGAAGAAGCACGGGAGCCGGAACCCGGTTCTGGCCCGGGGCATTGGCCGCTACTCCCGTTCCGCCATGTACGCCCGGCGGGCTATGTACAAGAGGAAGACCAAGACCACTGAGACCAAGGTGAGGGCAGAGCCATGACACCCTGCAAAATACATGTTAAAAGAAGCCATATGCACATCACAGTTGTTGTTCATGTCTTATTTTGGTGTTTGCTCCTGTTTCAGATGGAGAAAAAGATTAAGGTGAAGCCCCAGGCCACTGTTGTCAAGACTGTTGGAGGAGACAAGAACGGAAGCACTCGCGTGGTCAAGCTGCGCAAGATGGTGAGTGATGTGACTGGTCACAATGACATCTGAAATATTAGATGTAATTATGCAAAGAGAAGCAGAATTCATAATGGGTTGGTGCATAATCAGGCCACTCGTCTACAGTTGCCTGACTGAGAGGGAATAAACAAATTATTATTAAGAGGATCCATCTATTAAAACAAGTCGTAGGTGTTTTGGCCTTTTTACAGGACAGAAAAGGACAAAAATTTAAGTCTGGGCAGCAACAAATCAAATCTTAAGTCTACACACACAACGCAGTCAGTTTTTCTGCACCAAGCACTTTCGAGGTTAATTATCAGGCTACTTTGGTAATGACCAAATGGTAGAAAATGTATTTCTTTAGTTAGTTTAATAAGTACAATTAGTGAAGACCTAATTCAGCCTAGAACAACAGTCCTGCATTAAATCCTTCTGTCATTAAGGTTTGAATGTTAAAATTTTCTTATATTTTGTCCACCCCATTTATATAAATTAGGCCAAATAACAAGCACCTATATAATGAACAACAAACTACATCCTTCAGAAGGATCATAGTTGAATCAGCACCTCTCAAACAGTTGTAGGACTGTTGTATTAGACTGCTTTAGATTTAGCTAGTCGTTCCTAATAAACTTCAAGCTAGAAAAGGGGTTGAATTTTGCATCTATTCTGATAACGGTAGGGGTGGGCGATATGACGATATTAGATCGTGAAGGATTACAACGTGAAGACGATCTTTCAAACTGCAGAGATCGTGGGATCGTCTAGCGCACATTCTTTAAATTGCAGTTCTATGCTGATGCACCGACGCACCAGACGTATTGACGTCGTCAACCTGACCGACCAATCATAGCAAATTACGGGCAGTGACGCACTTTCCTACACGCCTCCTTGTTTGTGTGTGTAGCGGTAGCGGATGGAGAGCAATGGCTGAAAGCCAAACGGAGTTGGTCGCTAAAAAAAAATCCCACCTCCATTATATGGAATTGGTTTGGATTTTCCGCAACTGATCAAGCGCAAGCAAATGTAATTTGCAAAGTTTGCACAGAAACCGTTCGCACGTCGGTTGGTAACACGACGAACCAGAATGTTGTTGTTGTTGACCTTAAACTTTATGTTGTTTGCACATGCAGGCAAAACTGCGACTATTTGAAATAAAATCTGTTAAGAAAGGTTCTTTGGTCTAAATTGTCTGTTTTTCTTTTTCCAATTTAAGATCGTGATAAAATCGAAATCGTGATTTTATTTTGAAAAAATCGTGATATGATATTTTTGCCATATCGCCCACCCCTAGATAACGGTCATGCGTATCGGCTGACGCAGTGCTGTCAACTCTGAAAAGATCCCACTTTGCATGCATTTGTGTCATCCCAAGACTCAGAATTTAAAAAATGTTAACATATTTTCTTATGTGCTCCTACTGTAGCCCCGCTACTACCCCACAGAGGATGTTCCCCGTAAACTGAAGAGTCATGGAAAGAAGCCCTTCAGCCAGCACAAGAGGAACTTGCGCAGTACCATCACCCCAGGAACTGTCCTCATTCTGCTCACTGGTCGCCACCGTGGAAAGGTGAGAACCATTTCTAGCACATGGCTTGATAATGATGTTAGAGTTCTCATGAATTGGCATAAATGATTGACGTAATGCTTTCAGAGGATTGGAACGACTTAACGGGTGAATATGCAGTGCCCTATGTATGACAGGGTGTAGAAGTAATGTTCTAAATATAGAGGTGCCTGTGGAAGTTAAAGGAGTAGGAATCTGTGTGGTTATGACTAAATCAGGATAATTCCTGTAACTTTCTTATTGTACAAAACCTGTATGACTTGATGCAGACTCGTACACAAGTATTGGTAATTTTAATCTTCAAAGGCATGATCTGTGATACAGATGTAAACATAGAATCTCTTCTCCATCAAAATTTTAGATGTCAGAATATGAGCCTGCATTTATTCCCATTGTGTTTTGGGTCTTCTATTATGTAGATTTGTTTACTAGAAAACCAACATATGATCGATAAGGAAGTATAGTAGATATGAAATACAATATGCAATGTCTTATGTATAAGAAGTTTGCCTCGACAGTAGTCATTCATTGCTTATGGTAGCTTGCCATAGTGGGCGGCAAGTTACTATAGCAGCAATACTGATTACCAGTCCCCAGAGATTTTGGACAATGGTGTACAGTTGAAAACATGTAAAATAACGGATATGTTATAATCTCAATGAAGCACTTGGAGGAGGGTAATGTCGAAAATGAGGGATTTGGCTAAAGGAACCCCAACAATAGCGTTCAACTTTTCTCTTGTGTGACACCTTCTTCTACAACATATCTAACCAACTGACATAGGCCTAGTGTTTTTACTATATCATTTTTTTTATTTTTTATTTTCTTTTTCCCTGAACTCAGATTTTAAATTGACAACATGGCAGTGCTGTTTAACACCATTTGTTTCCATAAGGAGACTGATAGAACTGCCCCAAAAAGAAATCAGTGATGCCTAAGGACACATTGTGGGTTTAACATCAGTATGATCACACACCCTCGATACCACAGACGTTGTCCCTCCCACTCTCAAACACTACATGGGCAGGTTATGGAAGCAAGTATGCCCACACAGACTTTGAGCAGTGGCTGACCTAAATAATGTTTCAGCTATGAAACTGACAAGCAAGAGAGCACTCTCGATAAAATTAGGGGTGCGTGTCAAGTACATGTATTTTCCCTCTGTCTAAATAGCTTGGTATGAAGGTGGTTTGCGGCTGTAAATTCTCATTCATATGGCACAAATATGATGGTTAGTTGTTTCTGAGCGCACTACATGAGTTGAATAGTTGAAGGATCCTTTTTGTGTTCAAGTTGGCACTAAACATAACATGTTGTGTTTAATGCAGTAATTGGGCTCATTGTGTGCAAAACACTCCCCAATGCGGTAGCTTCATATCTATAATACTTGTTTTGTTTTTTTAGCGTGTGGTTTTCCTGAAGCAGCTCTCAAGTGGTCTCCTGCTTGTCACTGGTAAGTGTCTGTTTTTAGTGGTTAAAATTTCAGTAACTCAACATTAATCAACATGAATGCATATTATAGAAGAACCATCCATAATTAAAAGTAGTAGCACTGACAGTACAATGTTGGGCATCCTAATTCTCCTTTTGCTAACATTCATGCTCTTGCATACTTTTAGGCCCTCTTGCTTTGAACAGAGTTCCCCTGCGCAGGGCTCACCAGAAATTTGTCATTGCCACCAACACCAAAATCGACATCTCTGGCATGAAGATCCCCAAAACTCTGAACGATTCTTACTTCAAGAAGAAGAAGCTGAGGAGGCCCCGTCACCAGGAGGGAGAGATCTTTGATACAGAGAAAGAGGTGGGCCAACTTGGATATTTTCTCATAGTACACTACTTAACACATTTTAACTACTTAATATGGGGTTTTCCAGATTGTCTGACTGTAGTTTTCATGTTCTTCATTTGCAGAAGTACCAGCTGACAGAGCAGAGGAAGGAGGACCAGAAAGCTGTTGATGCTCAGCTCCTTCCCCTCATCAAGAAAGTACCTCAGCTGAAAGGATACCTGCGCTCTTCCTTCTGCCTGTCTAATGGTGTCTACCCACACAAGTTGGTTTTCTAAATGTGTTGTAATAAAAGTACCATCTTACGCCATCTATTGCCTCATTTGTTCTGGCATTTAGTGTATACACATAGCTTGGATATGTCCTGACAGTTTTGTCATGACCTTGCACCCATTTCAGCACCATGTTACAGTATTTCCAGAGCCACAATAGTATAGATAACATGTTTTATTGAATTTACCATTAGCAGGTGTCAATGTCTGACAATGAAATCATCCTTATAACTACATGTGAACACTATACAAAAACAGTATTCAAGGTTATGTGCTTATTTAACTCCCTGAACAATGCAGTGGTTCATATACTGAACTTGTTGACCTCAGCATATTGAGTGTGTGACACAATGTACTAGAGTTTCATACACCATTACTTGACTGTACAGATAAGGGTTAGGTATGTCAAATGTGCGCATGGGGAAGTTTAAAACCTTCACTACACTAGCAAATACAACTTGACAATTTCATCCCATTGGTAATGTTTACAAGAACATACTGCATATACATCTGTATACATGTCAATACCACAGTCATCACATCTCAAAGCATGGCGTGTACCTGGTCATATGGGAATATAAATGTCCTGGTTTATTTAGCATATAATGAAGCTGTGCAATGAAATGACCACACCAGACATTGGACCCAGACAGCTTAACAGCTACGCTTTAATTAAAAAAAGGACATGTCTAATGTAACAAGACAAAAATAAATACAAGTGTTTCATCTCTTTAACATGGCCACGGTTTTTATCCTCAAAAACAGAACGAAGTAGAAAGCAGCACAGAAAAAGGCAGCGGCCCCTTGCCAAGGAATGATAAGTGCCTTTGTCGAGTCAGTCAGTACTGTATGTATGGTAAGCTGGTGTCGAGAAAATGCGTTCCCTCAGCCGGACTTGAACAGCAGAATGGCCACCTGACCCAAGTAGAAGTAAATGAAATGCTTGGTCTCATGAGTCACGTAGCTGCCAAAGTTCCTCCCAACGATGCAGTGCCAGGTCGGGTTGTATTTCTTGTCGAACTCCTGTGTGGGACACATTGTATTCATCAGACATCGATGGAAAATATGTTTGGATGTGAGAAGAAAAATCTTTATGAAATAATGCACTCCATTACTTGCCTGAACATCAAAACTACTTTTTCATCACAACATTTAAGTAACACTCTTCCAAGCACAAAATATTACATGATATCACTAATGATTACATCCAAAATATTTTCTTGTCATTCTTAATAAGGATGTCACTGAGTGGAAATACATAAAGTTTTATTTATATTGACAGGCTCTAGGAGCTAGAAACAATTGTGAGAACTCAAGCTTGAGCTGGGTGATTTATTGTGACAAGATTTAAGTCTGGGATTTGGCTACTGTGTGGTTATAATTCTAAAATGTGGTCAGTTTAAGTCTGGACAGCTACAGTAAATTATAGTGATGGAAAATTTAACCTTTCTATTTAATATCTTAAAAATCCTGTATCCAAGCATATTGCCAATTTTGCAAATAAGAAAAATATAAACTTGGACAATTTAATCAACATCACCTGCTGTAAAAACTCATTCCAGGTGTGGAATTCCTAACACTGAGTGCATGAAAGATAATACACGGCTATATTCAATGACCATCATGACTGGAGGTGTGTTCCTCTCTACTCTGAGTAGGAATGCCATCATTGGAAATAAAAACATGGTCATGTGGCTTGTGAAGGACAGTCAGTCCAAGAGGAATATGTTTCCTCAGGAAGAGTGGAAACAATTGGAAATACCAGACTGGGTGTGTAACATGGATGATGCACAGGATGGTTGGTGAGTGAGTGCAAAAATAGCTTTACATCACTAGCTGCAGTCACATCACTGAAAAAACTAAGTTTAACAGAAATAATAGATTTGGTACATAAGTAAGCAGGTGAAAGTTACACCATGGGAACCTACTTCGTGAATTGAGCTGAAAATGAAGATGTTGGATGCACCAGCAGTGGTTTTACCTTTTTGATGTATGCAGCGATATCTTTCTCGATGTTGTACTTCTCCAGGGCCTGTGTGGCACACTCCACGGCGTCCTGCTGCATGTCCTCCGACATGTCGGCATTTTTGATCACTGCCTTTCTGTCAGACATGGTTGCCCTGGGAAACCAAAACACAGTGGAGGATTCATCATCTTCACAGGCGCATTGGCACACACACAATACAATCGACTTAAGACCCCGAGCATCCGAACAGCCCTTATCATCGATTGACTGAAACGGTGCTGTATGGAGACCATAAAGGGTCTCGTCAGTCAGTAAGGAAAAAAAACGGCTAGTTAGTGACGAAGTTATCATTATATAATAACTGACACATTATATTTAAACTAGCCATTTCTACAAGTGTTGCATAACAACTTCCATCAGCGGCAAGCTCACTGGATGCGCGCTCTGCGTAGTTTCTATGGATACGCAAGAAATGTGAGATTATCGTCTTAAATTTACCAGGTTTCAACAAGAATTCTATAAAATATGAGCACATTGCTGCGACAACCTAACGGTAGAAAGCAGCGAAAAAACACGCCTTAACTGCTTCAACGTGCGGGTCATCAAAATAAACACCACGTTCTCATAATAGTATAATGTTTGGCATAAATTGGACTTTAAATTATTGTAAGTAGTAGAAGTAAGGTGTCACAGTGAGAAGGGTTTACTGACAACATCTCACCACACGCATACTGAGCGATGATGAGCTGTTGATTAGCTAACGTTAAAGCACGATAAGTAGCTACTCATTCATCCAGCAAACAAAAAAACGACGTCTAAGCATAGATCTTGCCGTTTCGAAAATACTTAAATGAGAATAAAGTAGACATCACATAATTTTTTGCATGCGAAATTCTTAGATTTACCTACAAGTCCCCCGTATACTGTTTGAGTAGTTTTAAAGAGACGACCGCTCCTCCAGTGACAACTCCCGCGAAGTGGTTGACACAAAAGTAATGTGGGTGTGTAACCGTAAGAGACTGCTGCCTTGACGTGTTCTCATTGGCTGATATTAATGCACTTGGCGAAGTCATTGGCTGAATGAGCCCTATCTTTCCGGTATTTCTCACCGCATTTTATTTCAAACCATCATGCCTTGCGACACGATGGTTGCCGCGACAACCATTGTAAACAACTCCACTGAGGAGAGCACTATTGCACACAACACAAAAACGGACGAGTTTTTTTTAAAAATATATAAATAAAGAAAAAAAACTTAATACTTACATACTTAATACTGACCATATTTCACTTTAACCAGAAACCGTTCTCATAAATGGGTATGACAAAAATCTAACAATTAGTGATGTTTAGACCTTGTTGGGACTTTTGTGTTAAGTAGAAAGCCATTATTTGAACAACACTGTACATACAAGTTAGATATATGAGATATAGTGTGAACATACTCCCAACTTGTCCCCTTTCAAACATGAAAAAACGCCAACAACAAACAAAGCATATTGGCAGACAAAATGGTTCCCATCCTACACCCAGGCATTATGTACCTTACCAGATAATTTTATTACAACTGGAAAATGTTTTTGTGATGAGAAGAAACATGTTCTATTCTATCTTATCTTATATAGCCAAAAAGCCCAATCAACGGCATCCCATTTTCATTAAAAGAGTGTCTATATTTATAATAAACATCTTTTCAATGATAATTTTTCACACTACCATTTATTTTACTCCTACATAAACAAACTTAACAGTTGGAGGTTAACAACCCCACTGTTTTAAATAGTTTTTTTTCTTAAATATTTTCTGAACTATTTGCAATCATCCACATACAGAACAGACTAATATTCAGGTTCTGTGTTACAGATGAAATCACAAGATACACTGTAGCAGTATCCAGGTACCTGGTTAACTTTATTACTTTTATCTACTGCTTTCAAATGCCCCCTTAAAAACTGAAGATAAAATAATTCCCTAACTTACACACGTTATCATTTTCACACAACCACATGCAATAGATCCAAGTCTCTACATATAACAGTCATATTCCCACACCAATCAAAAACTGAGGAAATATAAAGAAAATAAAAGAACACAATTTGTCAAAAATTAGTGTCTATAACTAGACACTGAGCCAATTAAACACAAATATTATTTGCATCATTGCATTTCTTCTTCCTAATTTATTAGTTTGCCTGTATTGGCAGAGAACTACAGGTTTAATAACACATGCTTAAATTTCCATGGAGAGTTTATTTAAAAAAAAACAAAAACTACTAAGATATAGTAGCAATACTGCAGCCTTGTTTGAATGTGTAACAACTACACCATAAACACCTTTGGCAGAACTCAGCCAAAGGTGTTTAAATACACAACTGTCATGATAGTGTTGATGATAGAGTCGTCATTGTTCATGATGGACGAGTAACAATTGTAACAAAAGCTAGTTCACATTAAGACTGCTCTTCCCAGGTTATGTTGAAATCATTTTCTGGAATATCAAAAACTAAAATGTACACAGGTGTGGTAAAAAAATTTAAATAGAATAAATTACCATTGAGCATGATTTAAAAACCTTCTTAAACATGTGAGCCCATATATCTTCATACACAACCATGGATGATTAAACTTAAGGTAAAAACAAAATAACAATTTGGTTGTGCAGAGCATGTGTGTTTAGTTTAAAATTTCATTAATAGTCCAAATGTCCAAAACAAATAATTACAATGACTTTCACAGTTGTTTTCTTTTCAATAACATAGTTGAATGGTATATAAAAGACTAACACACAAACCCATGCTCCTGATCTTGTTTGCAGGAAAGCTCTAGCCTTAATTACATATGTAACTGTAACTTCACTCGCTGCGGTCCTTTGGCTCTCTATATTTGTAGTGGATGTATTCAAAGATGTCTCTCTCGCTATCCACCAACAGAGGCTCCCCTGCCATACCTACAACACATCCACAAAGAAAAACAGCTGATATAAATAGTAAAAGCTTGAATCATTAGTTACTGACTGATGACAGAAGTGACACAGGGCTGAAACAATGATCAGATGGTTCATGTCATACTTGATTGAGACTCACCAGTGACCCCAAGTGGTCGTATGGTGTACTCATTAAGAGTGAAGCCCTTCTCCAGAGCATGAGTTCTCATATTTTTATTGAAGATATCACTTCCAGTGAAATACAGAACTCCACAGTAGTACTGGTCCTTGGGAATTAACCTTGGGAAATGAAAAGAACAGTTAGAGAGCAGGAACAAACAGCTAATTAGAAGAACAAATAAATAAAGCCAGAAGGTTGCCTCTTAACTTTTTGCTGTGTATCCAGATTTACAATACTAAACTGAGCCTGGGCGTAGGTAGAGGTAATGTTTTAATTTGAAGATCACAATTTGATCCCCTCAACAAATGAAATCACATCATTATCCAGACAAAGGATAAGGAATCCCTTCCCACTGGCTCAGCCCATGGTGTTTTGTATAAACATATGCTTAAAAAACCTAATCTAGAAACATTAAAGCAATATAAAACAGGGCACCTAATATCAATGCGCCTGTGAAGGTATTCTTCCTCATCTTCATCACTCGGCTGCAGCTGGCAGACTCCCTAGAAAAACAAGATCCAGAACATTGTGACCAGTCATATGCTTCATGGGTTGGCTATAGTTACTACACTAATTGTGTTACCATTCACAACATCAAACACATACAGCTGAGCATGTGAGACAAAATAAGCACAAGCCTCACCATGAACTTGGTGTCTCCTTTGGACAGAGTGTCGGTCACAAAGCCAATGGACTCCAAATGGTTGACCACGGCATGGAGGAGCTTGGGCTGGAAAAGAAAAATTGGACAAAATGAATTAGAAAAAGATAAAAGAAGTCAACCTGCAGTTTATGGCAACACACTAAATTTACAACAGGATTAGTGAGGGTAGAGAGGAGTCTTACCTGCTTCTCAGTCTGAGAGGTGTAGTCTGGGTGGGTCAGCAAGATATCAATATCACCACTCGATGCAGCACCTGCAAATTAAGAAGATGTGAATCAATATCATGACTTTGAACTCCTATCATTAACTGGATATCAGGTGCGACAAACTTGAAGGGAAAGTTTTACCTCTCCTGTAACTTCCACAGATTGTTCCAATATATTCTGTATCAATTTCCTTCAACTCTCCAAGAATCAGTGTCTAAATGAAAACATCATCACACAGAGTTAGAAAAATCTAAATAAATCTGAAAATTACAAAAAAATATAAATGCTTGATCACCTCCATCTTTTCCATTTCAGCACGTGGAATTCTTTTCTCAAACTCCTCAAAGTACCTGAAGGCAGTAAAGTACACCCATGACACCCAGCTCATGGATCAATAGAGCAAGACTTTACTATATTCAAAGGAGAGTTTATTGGAGTTTATTGTGATTTGATGATATTCTAACATCACTGAGCCAAACTTACTTCAGTCCAATCTGTTGATGATGGTTTAGCTTGTGCTCGATCTTTTTCAGATCTAAAAATACAGCAAGAAATAACATTGAGGAACATTGCTCATTTGAAGTAATAACAGAGCTAAATCTACATTGTGTGTGACATTTATTGAACATGCAATATAGTGTGTCAAATAAAATATATTCAAACAGACAAAGAATAAGATGAAACAAATATTTTAACAATTGTAATGTAAGTCAACTGCTAAACAAACCTTCTAATGTCTTCACCCCTTCATCAAAAAACTTCCTGGCGGCAGCAGGGCTAAAGTCAGGAGCGAAAAGATGCAGTTTGTTACATGAGGCACATATGGTAAACTTACATGAACAAATAAGTTACAAAATATTCCTGCATGCCTCTGGCAACAGAATTCGTTAGCCATTGCATTTTTTAAAAAAAACTCATGATGCATTTCACTGTGAATGTCCATGCAAAACATTTAAGAGGTTTTTAATTTGGATTGATAACACATACCCAATTCCAGTAACTCTGGTGAGGAAATTGATGGAAGAGCTGGTGTCATCATTTCGGATCTAGAGGAAAATATAAAAGAAGCATGTCAGTCTGTTTATACTATGTTAAAATTAAGCTATTATTAAACAAATATACAGTGTGTCAGCAATCACGTATTCTCATGCTCAAAGACTTGCCTTTTCTAGTTTCCGTAATTTGCCAGTTTGTAGAAACTCATCAATCTTTTCTGCTATTTTAGCTCCAACACCATCCTGTTGAAATGTGAAGGCAAACATGAGGATGCAGAATAGTGCAATCTGCAGCGGTTATGTAAGATGTCCAGAGTAGCTGTTGACAAACATTTTCAGGCTACAGCAGAGGGCATCGCACAACACACAACCACAGCAACAATATGAGCACATTAGTGTTAGGAAAGGCAATTAATGATAGGGTCATTTCCAGTTTCCAGACATCAGTGCACTGATATGAACTGTCTAAAAGCAGTAAAGATGCAGTCATCTATCCTGGTCAAGTTCAACACAGAGACATCTTAAAATATGACTCCATGACACGGTGAATCAGATCAATTCACCATGAAAAGTTATTACTAAAATCAAAATGTGTGCAAATGCAAACACAAAACTCTGATTTGAAAAACAAAAAATGAATTACTATCTATCTATCTATCTATCTATCTATCTATCTATCTATCTACAAAACCTTTATACTGACCAGGATATTTAAGAGTCTTCAACTACAACTACTGAACTTTATAACTTTCACAAAGGTAGGACTTTATGCTGCATTGCAGAATCTCAGTTTGTATGACACAAAATCTCATTATGCATCGGGCCCATTGTCACCAGGTTTTTACATAATTACTGTGTATCACAAATTCACAAATGTATTAATTACAAAGGTAGCCAATGAAGACATTAAGGTTGTATTCAATGCATGTACCAGTTTTTTGGCCTCTTCACCATTTCTGATCTTGTTAGGGTACTTGGCAATGGTAGATGCTGCTTTCCTAGCCACAGGGCAAAAGAAAACTGGTTATGTAATAGAAAAACAACACGGAAATAAATAGCTTTTATTGAATTTCTGCTATAACAAGCATAACAAAGTTGTATCCTTAATCACCAGGTCAATGCCCCGCCCCCCTTAGCATGTTTAGTATTCAATGCATTATACATTCACTTGCCATGGCACACCTAAACTAAAGCAGTTTAATACAACAGCCTTACCATAAATCTTACTCTCATGAAGCTTATGTTAATCAGTTTCTGTTGAAACTGTTTAAAAAAATTTTTTATTCAATATTATGGTTATTTTTGAGGCTATTCAATTCTATGTATTTGTACTGTACACAATACAATTCAGCAACACAAACTATAGCCTTCAAACTGAACACATTAAACTTCATGAAGGTTGGATTTATTACAGGGTTGTTATATTAGACTGCATGAGTTTTTTGTATTAGACAGCATACGTTTTAGCTAGTTGTGCCTTACAAACTTGTAACTTGTGCTTTTCGTACCTTAGACGACCACTGGATGTATGGGTTCAAACAGCATTACATTTATTATTATACACTGCTATATTCACATAATCAAACCCTCATCCAACAACAAAGCACACCTCATTGCTGAGCCTTCAGAGCTTACCTGTATGCATTGTACTTGTGTATTGCCCTGTTGACATTTTTCTCGTAATTGGCCAGCTCTGGAGACAGAAGTAAGACAGTATAATGTAGTATAATGACTTCATAGTTCCCTCATACTCCTGCCACTATTTCAGGAAGCCATTTAAATATGAGGCATTTAAATGACAAGACATTGGCCATCGGCCTAAGCAACGAAAATTAAGAAATGCGAGAAAGAAACAGTATCATTTAGCATAGTTTGACAAATACATGATATCCATGAAAGTTTTTTTAGTTTTATTTTTTAAATTAAAAACAGAACACAGCTATCACGTTAGCTACTGTTAGCTGAATTCAACCGACTCTTCACGTACCCACAAGAAAGTCTGTTATTCCTTCGTTTAGTGATTCCTGTGGCGCTTTCCTCTTGCTCATTGTGGATTTGATAAGGTCTCAAATGCCCTTTCAGACTTCAAACGATCTTATATGCTTGCAAAAAAGTTAAGACCTCTTTGTATTCTTAGTTAGCCTTTAGCACATTAGCTAGCTCACGCAGAACAATGACCGACAGACGTAGACGGGGTGGGACGTGCGTAATACGTCATAGAACCCCCCCCCCCCCCCAAAAAAAAAAAATCAAGCAGCTTAATTTTAATGATACATTGTAAGTTTTAATAAAAAAAAAAGGTTTACAGTGACTTCACAAAATAATTCATCAGTAGTACACACAAAAAAAACAACAACCCAAAAACAAGTCACATCTCAGCAAATGATATTTATGAGCTAATGGACTGTTTACAGCGCATCTGCTTATTTTTTCTTCCGAGAGCAAACTGCATGTTATTCAGCAGCATGCAAGTGACATTCAGTAACCTCAGTGGTTGACTTCAAGTAATAATCCCCCCATTTATAATATAGTTCTTTCAATTTACAAAATGAAAATACTTTTAAAACGTTAAAATAATCATCTATTTTAAAAGCTTCAGTGTTGCACAACTACAAAATGAAAATGAATCTCAATAAAGCAGTGGATATACAGGATCGTCTCCTCTTCCTTCTTTCCCCTCCTCATCTTCTTCTTCATGTATTAGGAATTAATTTTTATATAAACTTTGTCCCTGGAGAATATTTTAATGGCCTCCTCGATTTCAGAAAGCCTACAATCGAGGTGAGCCCTTCGTGAGCGAAAGCTCAGATTGTCAGCTTTGAGAGGGAGTGACAGCAGCTCAGTCACCAGGGAGCAATGAGCTGAGGACAAATCAGAAACAGAGTTAGACTAACAAATATTCACTATAAAATCATTACTTTAAGTGAATGTTGTCATGATGAATGTAAGGACAGAGATTAAGAGAAACAGAGGCATACTCTCTTTGAGGGACTTCAGTGTCTCTTGTCTCTCACTCTCAGGCATCAGGGCATGACCAGCTGGGATTGTAGGATCAGGTGTGTTTCTCCTCCTCTCTTCCTCTTCTTTACGCCAAAGCTCCTTCCTCTCCTCAAGACTGTAATTGTGTGTGTGTTTAAGTCGGAATGAGAGAGGGTGAACACACATGAGTAACAGCAGTGAAAGGAAATATGAGAACAGGTGAAGCAATGAAAGGTAAGATGAGGAGGCAAGACATGACATAAGGGTACTCACTACTGAGGCACCTGTCCCTTGACTGCACTGGGCACAGGCTTATCTCTTAGATTTGTCAGTGATTGTGACCGACGCAGCACAGTTTTTCTTGCAGCCTGGGCATTATGTTTTATGAAGTCTATGGTCTGACCTTTCACCTGTAATTGTATCCACAAATAAGAATTCATGAAATATATATGTACATAAAAAAAAATATTGCAGATCTACTTCAAAGTCAGTAAAATTCACATTCATGTTATTTGTTTAATAAATCATGTTAGAGCACAAGAACAACAATTGCAAGTACTACTCTTCTCTTCGACAGAAAAAATTAAATCTATACACTATACGGCTAATTGTTTGATCATGTGAGTGTGTATCAAGAAGTAAATGTTAACTGGCAATTCTCACTTGCAAATCCTGGTCATGTAAAGAGTTGCACGACGCAGGGCGTTGCAAAGCTTTGGAGTGTGGTCTTGGTGGGGCAGTAAATCCACCATTAGAGTGAGCCTTCAGAAATTTTTGACACTGTGGTTTAACAGATGGACAAGAAACCTGCATGAAAGACATTGGATTAAAAGTGATCCAGAGGAAATATTCATAGCTCAAGGACTTCCATCTTTGGCAGACACATTCCTTACCTGTAGCTGGGCCATCACCCTGGATGGGACATTCTCGTATTTGGAGGAGGTCCAAAGAGCTTTGACAGGAGCCGGACGAGACTGTGCTCTTTCAGCCTCCTGCTCTTTGCAGCGTCTCTGGATCTCCCGGAGACGACGCACATTCTCTTTACTAAAGTCATGTACTCGCTGTTCTAAAGGGCCAAATAATAAAAGTTGTGTTAATAACAACATAGAAATGTAAAAAATGGCAATAAGAAGAAACTGCTGAGTGCTGCCGAGTTTACAAATCTGAAAGATCAATATGAAAAATCAGTTGCACTTACTCTGTTTGGGAACAGGAGTGATCGAAACACCATCTAGTTTGAGTAGTTCCCCCACTACACCTCTTTGTCCTCGTTCCAGGATATAGGTGGCATTGGGGCCAACACGGGGAGGATGTGCTGGGGAACGAGCACTGTAGCAGCCAGGGTACAACACAGGATCTGGAGCAAGTGGCCCTGAGAGCAAGGCCAAAGTCCCATTGTGGTTTCCCTCTAAACGTCCACGAGCTGAGGGAGGAAAGAAAATGAAATAATGTAACTTGAGGCCAATATTTATATTATTTTTACCATATAACAATGTTTTCCAAGTGTGGAGGTCAATGGCCTTGTTGCTGCAATATCTACCATAAGGAAGACAGCTATCTTAACTTTTTAGACATTCATTTATTGTCATCAACACATGCATACACAGTAAATTCAGTTTCAAGGGGGATTTTAGTATACCATAACCCCATGGCCGCACCTAACCTGAAGCAGGTCGTTTGTAGTACTGAGGGAACAGAGAAGGATCCGGGGGGATTGGCCCAGATATTGATGACGGCCCCTCACACATCTGAAGCTGTAAACTGTAAAAACAAACACAAAGTCTACAGTATCAGCTAAGAAATATAATAGAGTCAAACACACAAAGATTTCTCACAGTGATAGACTGGTTAGAGTTACTAAATGAAAAGCACAATAACTAAACCCTGATTTCCTTGGGCCTGGGTATAAACCAAATCACGCCGACTGTATACAGCTATACAGAAGTGTAGTTGCTTTTGAGTTTGTTTATATCACTAAAATCACTAAATCCCTATGTTAGCGGTGACCAACAATGGCTATTGTCAATTAGCTTGTAAAGTTGGCTAATCAACACAGGCTCTGTCGACGAATTCCTCCTCAGAAAGGACACACAACCACGCGTTAAACAAAAAAATATTTACAACAGCTTACGTCGACCAAACAACTGTAACCGGTTCAGTTGCATGAAGTAATGAATTTCATTCGTTTACCTTTATTATTAGCCTTGTTTATCCGAGGATTTTGTTCACGCGCGGTGATGACGCTGAGGCATCAACACTTGTATCAGCAGGCTTTACCATAGCAACGGCGCAGCCGCAAATAGAAATAGAAGTGATAGAAAGGAGAGTCTCCTACGTCTCACAATCATTTAACTGATGAGCAGTTGGGAGTTTACCAGAAATAAGACACAGCGGTAAACTACTAACAACCGCCGAAAAATATTGTGTTATTGACAACTGTTTCGCAATAACGATCGATTATTGCGAAAGTTTGGATACCAGTCATAAAGCGACTGTTGATAATTACAGCAATATGCGTTCCTATGCCTTTGCACCAGTTTTGAGTTCTAGCAGGTGTATTTCTGTGTGGGATTTCTTGTATTCCGAGTGTTGCCTCTCAGGCTGTTTCAATCTCCCCTTCAACATAACTACGACTGCAACGAACAAAGCTCCAACTATGTTCCTTATTATAACTATTCTCTACTATTGTACTATACCACTCCTATAACGTTGTGATTGCTAGAGCGTCATTGCGCAGTATGATAGACTGTATGGGCGGGACACTGCGCACAACCTGAAAATAACCTCTCCCTGACAGACGAATTTCAGGGCAAAAACACCCCTCATTTATAAGCGACTTTAGCAAGAGGTCATTGCCCCCGAGCGGTGTAAGAGTATTATTACACCAAAACAAATGCGGCATTTTCACATTTGTGCCACCCAGTGTTGATTCACACGGAAGTGGCTAGAATAATAAAAATATAAAAAATATTTAATACAATTCTAGCATTGCAGAGATTGCACTGTTATGTTATTCCTCACATTTTTTGAGTTTCTGCGTCCATGACCTCATTTTAAATTACGAAAATCTGAAATATTTCTTTTAACCACAGTTTACACAAATCCAAAAACAAACTTTATTTTGAGTGACTATTTGTGCAATAATGATTTGATGTGATGTAGAATGCATCAAGGTAGCACGCCTAATCTGGTGATATTTTATGATATGATAAAATACTATGATAAAACTATGGAGACTTTCCCATGAATATCATTGTGACAGGTATGCCTTTACCTATATCAAACACATACTAGGCACCAATGAACTTCTTAGCAATAATGTCCGAAATGTGAACACGGTTTACATATATAAAACATATACAGTAGGCCTATACTGTTTGACAAGTTTTTTCCTCAATGTCAATTACACAACGGCCCCGCCCTCGGCCGGAGGTCTGACTCGCGCCTGCCCAGTCTGTTCGTCTCTGCTTTCTCCTTCACAGTGCCCCGCTGCGCCGACGTTAAGAAACTCTGCACCCACCCCGTAAAGAAAGGTAAGAAATAACTGACTTCACCAAGTTGTTATTTTCAAAAAGTTATTGTCTTATGTCGGTTTATCTGTACAACGGTGCAGCTGTTGTCAATAATCGTGTGACTGTCAGACAGATATGAGTCACACATACAGGGGTGGGAGTGCAGCAGGCGGGTATGCCATGGTTTCAATGGCAGTCCAGGCCTGTATATCCCAGTAGTTACCTGAAATTCACAACTATAAAGTGCCTGAAAAAGAATCTCTCCACAAAGGGAAGTTTATTGGCCATAACTGATTTGCGATCAGCGATGTCGACATGGGACAAAATGGTCCCATTTTCTGTAAAGCTTTTTAAGTGGCACATTTTTAACATTGTGGTGCGACATCTTGTCCATATCCTATTTAAAAATAGAGATTGTGTTTTAGAAAGGCAGGCGTTGCAGAGTTGGTAGCCTAGCACGCAGTGGACGAGGCTACAGACGAACAAAGAAAACCAGAGGTGGACACATCTGGGCAAATAAAAAATACTCGTCCACTTGTAGGACAGGGCGATCTGATGCCATAAATCTTATTAGCCTGTTTTTCAAGAAGCCAAAAGTGTATGAACAGGAACATTAAATATCAAGGACAGCTCGGAGGAATAAGTGAAAGTGAAACCTGGGTTATTTTAACTGTTTAAAATCTATATTGGAATGGAATTGGGGTCATTTATTTGCTTTTCTAAGACCGGCGCTATCCAAAGTTCTGAAATCAGGCCCGTTGTTCAAATGCCAGACTGACTCAGGGCTGAAAGAATACATTAGTACCAATACAGGGTGATGCAATAAGTATTAAACGATCCACCCACCAGTAAACAGGTGTTTACACACAACAGTAGTCTAACTGTTGTCATACACTCTGAAGTTCACTGGGAGAACATATTATTTGGACTGGAGCAGACTATGAAGCAAATACATCATCACTACATCAGGCACTTTACATTCAAGCTATATATTGTCTTGGTGTAACTTGACTGCACTAGAACTTATCTCTCTCACACACACACACACACACACACACACACACACACACACACACACACACACACATTCGTTCTGTTATATCCCTCACTCACTTGCCTTGGTGTCATGTTATCAGAGGGTTCAGCCAGTGTTGGGTAACTGTCTGTTTGCACAGTTTTATAGTTTTTTTGTTCAATATCTGTTCATTAGTAAAGGGTCTATTATCAGTGCCCTCATATTAAATTGCTAAATTATCAGTTTGTCAACTATTGAATACATGTTAAATTATTCCTGGAATTGTTAGTCATTTAAGACAGATGTATGACTACTGTCAGTTTTTTTTGTGATTGATTCATAAAGTAAAATATGGAACACATTGGCTTCACCTTTACAAATACAAGCAACTGGTGGCTTTTATCCAGTTTATATCAGCACAAAGTGAACACTTTTTAAGTTTGATACATTCATTGATATAATTTATCAATTTCATAGACAGAATAGAGTATTCATATAATAATTTTCAATAGATTTCTCAATAATGTTATTTATAGGAAGTTGCAGACCTAGTGAGAATCAGGAGTATCCTTGTGTTCAAATGAATCAGACTTCATGTAACATACTAGTGGTCTGTCAGACAGTATGCAGCTATCTAATCAGACAACTGAAAAAAATTCAAACTGAAAAATTGGCAATTTACACTTATTGTGCTGTGTGCATGTAACATATTAATATTTGTACCTGAGCACCATCCACCATTTTGTTGTTTGTGTGATTGTAATTTTCCTTTCACATTAATTCTAAATGTCCTTTTGACCTCTGAGCTCAGTCAAGGCTGCAGCTCATGAAAGTGTCAAGATGAGAGGGGGGAGAGTGTTTTGTATATAAATGTAGTGTGGAGGTAAAATACAGACAAATACATCCATTTTATAGGGGTTTTCAATAGGCTGAACCTGGATGAGGACACATGTTGAAACCCTAGTCACATGTGTTGTAGTGTCAGGTTCACCTGGGCTAAATATAGAGCCGAGTGTTGAGACTGAAGGATGGAGTCGAGGTGGGAAGGAGTCAAAAATGGACCTGAAGGGGGTGAGGGGATACAGAGCCGAGAAGGAGCATGTCTGTTGTGTGAAATGACAAAGGCAGTGCAGGAATTACATGAGCTCAGCAAAATGCATGTCAGCTGGCACACAGTTGCTTAGGTTTTGTAGAAGCGAACAGCAGAGACGGACGGGACTTTTTGACGCAGACTGTGGCTTATTCTCAGGTGTTCGTGTGTGTGAGAAAGATGGAGATCAGGTTTGGGTATTTCACTAGAAAGATTTCTGTAATTGTGGTCTTGTCCTTGTTTTTTCTCACTGGCTTGAATTAGGCAAGGTCTCGGTTGGAAAAAGGTGATTTCACATACTTCCATTCACCAATCAGAGTTCAGCAACATCTGAATCAGATCCTGAAGACAGTTGTGAGGTTGTTTGCTTATGTTTCCAGTACTGTCAGTCAGTTATGAACAAACCACACCCTCACAGTCCTGATGAAGCAGATTAGCTGACTCTTTGTTAAACTTAAAACAGCTGTAATTGATATTTTTTATAATAATTTGCTGTTGATGTAGCACTCGAGGAGACATGCTTACCTGTAAGATGTGCTGTGCTTTCTGTGCTCTCGTATAAGGGGCAGAGAGGCTTCTATATATCACCACTTCATCATTTTGTATCCTTCATGCAGCTAATCAGTATTCTTTGTCTGATAAAAATGACATTTTTCAGTGCCATACAAGGCACACAGGCCTTATCATGTTCAAAGGCTGTGCACAAAGTACAATGTGTTCATCATCTGCTGGCCTATGCACATACTGTACAATGTGTCGCAATAGTTGGCCAGTTTTCTGCATAGAAAGGAGACCTCTGAGCTCTTGACTGCATGCTAAGGAAGCATGCTAATGTTCACAGCCACTCTCAGACAAGCCCACACATTGTGCACTGTTGCTGTCAAACAGTGCAGCACAATTTGCCAAAGTTTTCTATTGTTCCTCCTTGTGCTTCCCTCGTCTGAAGAGACATGGCAGAGAAAGAAGTGAGGAATATGGTGCAGCAGGACAAGACAGGAAAAGACAAGCAGGCAGAGAACAAAGGCCACTGTGTGACATGTCAGCACCACGCACCCAAGGGACATGGTGAGTGGGGGGTGTGTGTGTAGAGAGACAGATGACGTATCATCAGGGTCCCTGGATTGCACTCTGGCTACATTGTCATTACAGACCTGAGATCTTTACCTTTTGTCAATTTCAAGTTGTTGGATTCCAATGACAACATTTTGATGGTCTGCATTGGGTCAATCATTGGTGCATTAGCAGGTAGAAGCTGCATTAGCCTGAGTGATGTCTTTTCTCCATCCTCTGCAGAAAAGATGTGATAGATTAGTTTAACAGTGGGGGGACAGAAGCACCAGAAAGAAGGCAAGCCTGTAGTAAAATATTAATCCTGGTTTAGGTTGTAAGTGAATGCAGGATATTTTAAATGCTCCCTGCAAAGTCACCTTGTCAAAAATGTCTTCACACACAAACACACACACACACACACACACACACATACACACACATACTGTCCCAGGGGACCCTGATGACTGTCTGAAGCACTCCGGTGCAGTGCAGTGGTGTGCAGAACTTGTAGTTGCTGACTAACCAAACTTGCTACTGCTTATGTTAGCTCTACTGCATTGCCTTGCGTAGTATTCCTTTACCCATCGTACATAT